CACTGTTGGTACCAACAGCTGGGAAATAAAAAGACAAATTGCACTGGGAAAGTCTGCTGTCACAGACCTTTCCAAAGCAATGAAGAAGAATGATGTCAGTATGGAGACTAAGGTCCGCATGATCCAGGCCATGGTCTTTGCAATTACTTGCTATGCATCAGAAAGCTGGACACTGACTAGGGATGATAGAAGAATTGATGCCTTTGAGCTGTGGTGCTGGAGAAGAATATTGACTATATCATAGACTGCTAGGAGAACAAACACATTCGATCTAGAGAGGGTGAGACTAGGCTGCTCCTTGGAGGCAAGGACTCTGAAGCTTCATCTGACATACTCTGGACATTCTGCAAGGTGGGACCAGTCATAGGAGAGGGACATCATGCTTGGGAGGGTGAAGGGACAGTGCAAGAGAGGAAGACCCTTGATGAGATGGATTGATTTAGTGACTGGGGTAATAGATATGTTGGAGAAAATAAAATTGGCACAGGATAGAGCAGGGTTTAGGGCTGTTATACACAGGGTTGCTATGGATCACAGGCAACTCAACAGCACATAACAACAAGGAAATCAGTATCAAATGGTGTTTGCCCATGATATTGATTGGAAAGTTATATGCTGTTTTTATGTTGAATCTTGTACTTTTTAAACTAAAATGAAGGGGGGAAAGAGGCATAAATATTGGCAAAGAATAGATTTGTAAAGGAACTCAGGATTTGCAATTCTTCTGATGATCTAATGTTTAAAAATCACCTGCAAATTGCTTGGATAGAGGAAAATTGTTCAGGAACCAAGAAATTCCCTTTACACCAGTGGTTTTTAAATTTCAGCTTGCATCCTATTTAGCTAGAGAGTCTGTTAAAGTAAAAGTTTCAGGGCATCAACCCTGGAGCTCCTGCTTCATATGTCTGACCTGGAGCTTGAAACTTTCCACTTTAACAAGGTCCCAGGTGATGTTGCCACTGGTGATACAGGGATCTTGCTTTGAGGATCTTAGCTTTGTAGCAACAATCCACTAGCACAGCTAGTTTTTAAATGTCCAAAATGTCTAGGGAGCTCTGGTGACTTGTCGTGCAGCTAACAGAAAAGACTGCACATCTTTTGCAGTTTAAATTCACCAGTTCCTCTATGAGAGAAAAACAGACATTTCCCATCATTACTATTTACAGTTTTATAAAATTGAATGGAGATAATTGTGAGCTCGCAACAGCAGTAAGTTTGAATTTTTAATTTAATAAAGTATCTAGCTATGCTAAACAATATGTAAATATTAGAAAGCTTTACTAAAAGACATTGAAAGCTATATGAAAAAATAAAGAGAATAACTTCAAAATAACTTTCAAAATGTGATGGTGTGAAGTCTATCCCAAATGAATCTATAAACATATAAAAATTTTAATAAAATAATTTCCATAGTTTTCCTAACAGTTTTAGGAGTTTTAATAATTAATGTTTAACTTTAATATATTTTGAAATGGTTTTGTGTATGAACAAGAGAATTGTGATTATATGTTCCCCCAATGGTTACTTAATGAGCTCAACATTGCTTATTAAACAATCTATAATTTCTTCATTTAATTAAAACACTATAATGTAATGAGTCTATTATTCAAAATGGTGCCCCCAGAGGACATTATGCTGAGTGAAATATCTCAGTCACAAAGGGACAAATACTGCATAGTGCTACTGTTGTAAAACAGGACTTACATTGGGGTTGGGGGAGACTGAGAAAGATGGGTTTAATAATGTATACTGCTTGTTAGCCATCTGAATGTCATCTTCGGTGAAGTGCCTG